CACGCCCACGACTTCTCGGTGTCCCCCCGTCCACGCCCACGACTTCTCGGTGTCCCCCCGTCCACGCCCACGACTTCTCGGTGTCCCCCCGTCCATGCCCACAACAGGTCTCCTCCTCCCATGTCTGGGCAGTTGCCACCATCCTTCAGTGGCCCTGCCCTGTCTGTCTCTCCTCTAGCCCTGGGTCCCCACTGGTCACTCCTCGGTCGCTCTGCCCAAGGCCCTGCCTCCCACTCTGCAGAGAACATCTGCACTTTCTTGGCCCTGGGGTCTGCAGGGGGCCAGCTCCCACGTGGTGGTTGAGACCCATGTCAACCCCATCACTGTCCTGCTCCCTGCACCCCTCTCCACCACACTTATCCCAAGGCTGTCTGTCCCGCCCCACACCTGGGGTCCTGGACCCTGGGACTGCACCTGGCAGAGGGGTCATGCAGTGAACACTGGGGCAGGGAGACGAAAAGCCCCTGGAGATGAGTTGCTGAGGCGTCAGCAAGTGCGCCGTGGCTGTGGACGCTGCTGGCTATGGGGTGTGGGGGCTGTGCTGAGGTGCTCGGGCCGAACAGGCTGATGGCTCTCTGGGGGTTGTGTTTGCAGAACATAAATGTGCTGAAGGCAAAGAAAACCAAGAAGAGGCTTTGGAGAAGACAAATGACATCCATGATGTGATGGTAGGTCCCCATACCTGAGCTCCCTTGGGCCAGGTGGGCCTCGATCTCCCCATGCCTCCTCACACTGTCACCTTCCCTGGGCCGTGTCCTGGGGACGGGTGGCAAAGCCAGTCACACCAGGCTGCTGGACGCATGTGCATGCTTGCACTCATTTGTATGTGTGTGCGTGCTTGTGTGTCCATGTGCACCCGTGTGCATACGTGTACTCATGTACACCTCTGTGTGTGCACTCGTGTGTGTCCATAGGCACCTGTGTACAAGTATGTGTGCGTGTGCTCGTGTGCATCTGTGTGTGCTCATGTGTCCATGTGCACTCGTGTGTGTCTGCGTGTGCATCTGTGTGCGCTCGTGTGCGTTCGTGTGCACTCATGTGTGTCCATGTGTGCCCGTGTGCATCTGTGTGCGCTCATGTGTCCATGTGCACTCGTGTGTGTCTGCATGTGCATCTGTGTGCACACGTGTGCGTTCATGTGCACTCATGTGTGCCCGTGTGTGTGCATGCACTCGTGCATCTGTGTGGGCGCTCATGTGTCCATTTGCACTCGTGTGTGTCTGCGTGTGCACCTGTGTGCGCTCGTGTGTGTTCATGTGCACTCATGTGCGTCCATGTGTGCCCGTGTGTGTGCATGCACTCATGTGCATCTGTGTGTGCGCTCATGTGTTCATGTGCACCCATGTGCATCTGTGTGCATGTGCTTCTGTGCATCCACGTGCACCTGTGTAGGTGTGTGCACTTGCGTGCTGCCCTTCATACTTTTGTCTTATGGTTCATGCCTCACTTGAACAAATGGGAGAAAGTGACAACAGAAGCTGCGGATGTTGCTCTGGAGGAGGAAGGAAGGCTGAGTCCGGCATTTGGGATAAGTTTTAGGAAGTGATGCTGGCGGCCAGCTCCCCACTCCCTCCGGCACTCTTGTTGGCATCAGGATGGGAGGATCCCAGTCCTGCCCTAACATGGGGTCAAGGTAGACTAGCCCGTGTTGCAGAATAGTAGGTGTGTCCTCAAATGCTGGTCTACAGAGAATGACCCCGCAGGGTCTTCAAGGTGTCAGAATTTTGGAAAATGTTTTCCTTTCCTTGTATCTCTTTGGTAAGAATTTTTGACCACACAGGTGCTTTTGTAAAATCAGAGCCGCCAAGGCCACCCTGGGTCCCTGCACTCTGGTGGCTCTGGCCGCCGGCTCTGAAGGAGTGGGGGCAGGGAGGAGGCTGGCTCCCACAGTCTCCAGGCCACGAGGCAGTGCACTCACCCCATGCCCCTGTGTGGCATGTCCCTGAACCCCACAAGGACACCCACGGGGTGGGCAGCCCTGGCTTCACTCAGCCGCACACACGGGGGCTGCTGTTGGTGCGGAGCCCACCCTTGCTTCCTGAGAGCAGAAGCCCCGCATGCGGGCGGTTTCCCCCAGTGCAGCACACAGTGGCTCCCCAAGGAACACCACTGCCAGCCTCCCAGACCAGAGAGTCACAGACCACACATTTCCAGTGTCGTTTAATACCTTATTTCCACGGTATGGAGGGTCCTCAAAAAGTTAGAAATAGAGCTACCCTATGACCCAGCAGCTGCACTCCTGGGTATTTGCCCAAAGGATACAAACATAGGGATCCGAAGGGGCACCTGCACCCCAATGTTCACAGCAGCAATGAGCCCAACACCCAACTGTGGAAGGAGCCCCGATGTCCATCGACAGACGAATGGACAAAGAAAATGTGGTCCATATACACAGTGGAATATCACTCAACCACCAGAAAGGATGAATACCCAGCATTTACATCGATGCAGATGGAACTGGAGGAGATTATGCTGAGTGAGAAAGCCAATAGTATATGATCTCACTGATACGAGGAATTTAAGGAGCAAAACAGATCATCATAGGGGAAGGAAAAAAAGAGAGGGAGACAAACCATAAGAGACTCTTTTTTTTTTTTTTAAGTGGATCTTTTTTTTTTTTTTTAAGATTTTATTTATTTGACAGAGAAAGACACAGCGAGAGAGAGAACACAAGCAGGGGGAGTGGGAGAGGGAGAAGCAGGCTTCGGCCGTGCAGGGAGCCCGATGTGGGGCCCGATCCCAGGACCCTGGGATCATGACCCGAGCCGAAGGCAGACGCCCAACGACTGAGCCACCCAGGCGCCCCAAACCATAAGAGACTTTTGATGAAAGAGAACAAGCAGGGTTGATGGAGGGAGCGGTGGGGGAGGGGCTAGATGGGGGATGGGCATCAAGGAGGGCTCTCATGAGGGGCACTGGGTGTTGCTCGGAAGTGATGAATCACTGAATTCTACCCCTGAAACCGATTTTACCATATATGCTAACTAACTAGAATGAAAAAGTCTGATTTCCTTCACTCTTACCTGCATCCCAACATCCAAAGATATGAACCTTGGATATAGGGTACTGATGAGGGTTTTTTTCCTTGCCAGTCCAGGTTGGTAAAAAACGAAATGCCGTACTTCCTCTGGACTATCAAAAGGGACGTCATTGACTACCACCGCCTGAGCTGTGACCAGATGCTGAATCACTACGGGAAGACGGCTTCCTTCACCACCAAGGTGAGGGGGAGGGCTTGGGGGGAGGGGGGCGGGAGCAGGTGCAGGGCAGTGCCTCACCTCCTGCAAGCCCAATGGCTGAGTTTGGGAGGGCCTCGGATGGAATGGTCACCTCGGGGCTCCTCCCCAGGATGACTGCTGCTCGGGCAGAGGCCACACAGCCCGCTACCAGTGTCCAGGGGCCCTTAGCACCTGCTCCGCTCGCGTCCCCGGAGCCCCATGTGCCCTTAGCCCTGAGGCCCGCCTCTGGGTACGCAGGCCAAACCTCAGGCAGGGCAGGTGGGGGCTGCCACCGCAGCCCCGTGTAAGCTCTGCACCCTGCAGAGGCCCTGGGTCCCAGGGAGAGCCAGGCCGCCTCCCCCCTGCATGGGGCCTTCTGGCTGCAGGCGGCGTGGGCACCTCCTGTCCTCACCGCCCTTGGGTCTCACGGCCCCCTCCCGCGACTCTGAGGGCTGAGGTTCAGGGGTGGGGTCAGCCCAGGGTGGGCAGGCCTGCCTGTACCCGGGCAGGAGAGCCTGGGGAGAGGGGCTTCTGGGCAACAAGGAGACCATCCCCCCAACAGGCAAGGATGACACGAGGGTCGGGGTGAGGCTTGCACCACCCCCAGGGCTCCCTGTGGCGGGTCTGGCCCCATGCATCCTCACCCGGCCTCAGCTGCTGGCCTCCTTCAGGGTGCGGGCGATAGCTGCAGGTGGCCCAGTCGGGTTGGGCTCCCCACAGAGGCCCCCATGTAGCGTGGCCACCAGTGTGCCCAGCAGGCAGCAGGCACTGCCTCTCACGGGGGGCACTGGGCACTTCTTCCCAAATGGGGCCCGTGGTGAGTGTGCCCAGAAGCTTGCTGGGCCCAGCACCAGTTAGGGAACCTGGGAGATAAAGGTGGGACCTACCACCCTGTGCCCTCAGATGGCCCTGGCTTGCACAGGGGTCACCCTGTTGTTTGAACCAGCTGGCTGGGGGCAGGAGGGGCAGGGAGGCCGGGGGGGGGTCTACTCTGGGGGGCGGTTCTGCTCCAAGAGCTCCTTGGAGCAGGTGCCGCCAGCCAGACCTGTAGGCGTTCAGGCTGGTCTGAGGGGACCAGCAGGTGGCCTGTGGGGGCCTAACGTGCCACTGTCTCTGGAGATCGGGCTGTGTGTGAACATGAGGAGCCTGCCATGGTACGTCCAAGCCAACCCTGACTCCTTCTTCCCCCGCTGTTACGGCCTCTGCACTGAGAGCGAGAAGCAGGAATTCCTGGGTAAGTCAGTGGCCAGAGGCGGAGACCACCTGGTGTCAGGGCCCCTCTGTGGCCTACCTCCCACTGAAGGGCTGCAGGAACCTTTGGAAGGGAGGTGGGCTAGGCCACAGCTGCAGGGCTGGGGACTGGTGGGAGGTGATGACAGACAGCCTGGTCCTGTCCCAAGGCCCAGGGGCTCGGCTCCATTTTGAGGGGTGAGGGCTGGTCCAGACACTTCCATGGGTAGCATCTGTAAAGCAGGAGGCATGGGAGGCTGGTGGAGGCTGGTGGAGGCTGATGGAGGCTGTGGAGCCGCGTGTCAGGAGCTTGGTTCTGATTGGGTTTCTGGGGGAGGTCTGCATGGGGTTGGTCCTGGGACCCAGGTCTGAGCACCTGTGGGCCACAGACTCTGGCCTGAGGACAGAGGGGGGATTCCTGGTTTGACCTGCCGAGAGAGAGAGACAGAAAGTGAAGGTCGGAGCAGGTGGGCAGTGTTCATTTGGGGGTGACCGTGTTTTCTGAGCGCCTGATCTGGGGGCCGTGGAGATGTGGCATCTACCAGCACCTGTGCCGTATGTCCTGACCCCACTCTGGGGCTCCCAGGAGCAAACAGACGCAGGCAGAACAAGGCAGGGTCCATGGGGGCTGGAGGTGAGAAGTGCAGTGGAGGGGAGGGTGGTGGGCAGGGCCATCTCAGAGACGGGGTGCTGGTGAGACCCGGAGGGAGGGAGGTCTGAAGGGACCAGGCTGGAGGAGGCCATGTGCCTGCGTGCCCACAGGGCACAGGGGCTAGGAGTTGGTGGGCAAGCTCAGGGGCGTTTGTTCTGGTGGAAGGAGACTCGGGTGAGAAGCTCCGGGCCCTGGAGGAGCTGGGGAAGGGAGCACAGATTCTGGGTATTTCCAAGGAGGCAGCAACCGCTTGGCCGGCAGGTGGGGCCTCCTCTGCTGAGATGAGCAAGGAGCAGGCTTTGGTTTGGTTTCGGTGAGAAGGTACCAGAATTTCCTGCAGACCTCCCAGAGGGCATGCGTGGGAGTGGAATTGGCTAAGACAGGCCTCAGAGCGTGGGCTCGCTCATGGGGATGCAGGCCTCCTCTCCTGGCCCAAGAGCACTCGGAGCCAGGCGAGCCCCAAGCCTGGGTCTGTGGGACCCAGAGCTGCCTTCCGTGCCAGGTGGGTGTGACAGGGCCCCTCTGGCCATCCACACCAGGAGCCGTGGAAGCCAGCATGTCCAAGGAGGTCCAGAGAGCCTCCTGGGATGGGGAGGGTCCTCGTGTGTCTGCAAGGGGCTTCTGTCCTCTGGTGCAGGGCTGAGGGCACGGGGAGCCGGGACAAGGACAAGCACGTGGCCTCCGTGGACTTGGCCCTGGGTGGGGGCGGGGAGAGCAGGAGGGATGTGCAGGTGGAGGTATATTAGACTCCCATCTGCAGAGGAGCAGGAGGGAGAAGGACCAGGTTGGAGGCACGGGCTGAGGGCAGAGTGAACGGCCCCTCGAGGCGGTGAGGGCAGGAAGGGAGGCTGCTGCAGGCTGTGGGGCACCGAGGCTGAGGACAGCTGGTGCTGGCCGAGGTCCCTGGTCCCCAGCGCCGGCAGAGGGGGCGAGGCCTTGGTGTCCTTTCAGACGACTTCCGGCGCACAGTGGCCTCCAGCATCCTCAAGTGGGTGGTCAGCCACCAGAACTACAGCAGAGGCAAACCCAGCATCAAGGGGGAGGCCTGCGAGCCGGGCTCCGGCAACAAGAAAGGTGTGTGTGGGGCCTGAGGCTACACCGTGCAGGGAGGGCTGTGCCAGGAGGATCAGTGGGGCCATGTGTCCAGGGCGGTGTTGTCCCCTGCCCCACAGAAGAGGGTGACAGGGAATGGCTTTCCTGCGTGGTGTAGGGCCACGTGGCATTAGGCCTACAAAACCCAAATAAGTATTTTGTTGTTCACTTTCTCAGAGCATTTTTAGGTTCACAGTCCGGTTGAGCAGAAGGTACAGGGATTTCCCATACACGCCCTGCCCCCCCAGCCTCCTCTACTATCACCACCCCCACCGGTGGTGCGTTTGTTAGGATCAGTGAACCTGCGTTGACACGTCACTGTCACGCAGACCACAGCTGGCCCTGAGGTTCACTCTTGTGCGGGGCGTTGTGTGGGTTTGGAGAGCCGTGTAAGGGACGGATCCACCGATACGGCGTCCCACAGAGTCGCTTCACTGCCCTCCACATCCCGCTGCTCTCCCCTGTTCCTCTCTCCGCCCCAGCTCCTGGCTCCCCGGTCCTTTTCCTGTCTCCGTAGTTCTGCCTTTTCCAGAATGTCCTCCGGTTGGAATCGTACAAACGTAGCCTTTGCTGATTGGCTTCCTTCACTCAGGGTTATGTATTCAAGGTTCCTCCAAACTTCACAGTTTGGTAGCTCATTGTCTGGATGGTCCATTGTCTGGCTTGTTTATTCATTCACCTACTGAAGGACATTTTGGTCAGGCAATTATGAGTAAAGCTGCTATAAACATCTGTATACAGGTTTTTGTATAGGTGTAAATTTTCAACTCATTTGGGTAAACACCAAAGAGCATGATTGCTGGATACCGTGGTAAGAGTATGTTTGTTTTGGTAAGAAACAACCAAGCTGCCTTCCACAGCGGCTGCGTCATTCTGCCTTCCCACCGTCGGCGAGCACTGCTCCTCATCCGCCCTGTGTTTGGTGGCGGTGGTGCTCTGGATTTTGGTCATTCTGACAGATGTGCAGTGGCACCTTATTGTTTTCATTGGCAGTTCCCTGGTGACGTATGATGTTGAGCATCTCTTAATATACTTCTTTGCCATCTGTAAATATATTCTTTGGTGAGAAATCTGTTCAGCTTCCCTGCTGTTTAAAATTTTTTTATTGTTGAGGTTTAAGAGGGTTTGTGTGTGTGTGTGTGTGTGTGTGTGTGTATTTTTTGGTTAACAGATGTGTCTGTTGCAAATATTTTCTCCAAGTCTGTGGCTGTCTTCTCATCTTCTTGACTGTCTTTCATGGAGCAGAAGTTTTTAACTTTAATGAAGTCCAGCTTACCAAGTATTTCTTTCATGGACCGTGCCTTTGGGGTTGTATCTAAAAAGTTATCACTGCACCCAGGTTCATCTTGGTGGTCTCCTGTGCTATCTTCTAGGAGTTTTATAGTTTTGTGTTTCACACTTGGGTATATGATCCATTTTGAATTAATTTCTGGGAAGGATGTAAGATCTGTGTCTAGATTCTTTTTTTTTTTTTTTTGCACCCGTTCCAGCATCACTTGTTGAAAAGACCACTTTTTCCCATTATATTGTCTTTGCTCCTTTGTCAAGGATCAGTTGATCATATTTTTGTAGGTTTATTTCTGGGCTCTTTATTCTGTTCCAGTGATCTGTCTATTATTTTATGAATACCACACTCTCTTGATTACAGTAGATTTGTGGTAAGACTTGAAGTTGAATAGTGTCAATTCTCCAATTTGTTCTTCTCCTTCAATATTGGGTTGGCTATTCTGGATATTTTTACTCTCCATATAAACTTTAGAATCAGTTTGTCAATATCCATAAAATGCCTTGCTGGGATTTTGATTGGGATTGTATTGAATTTATAGATTGAGTAGGGAAGAACTGACATCTTGACAATGAATCCTATTCATGAACATAGAATATCTCACCATTAATGTAGTCCTCCTTTGATCTCAGTTATCATATTTTTGTAGTTTTCTTCATATAGATTTTGTTAGATTTATTTATTTATATATTTAATTTGGGGGCTGCTAATGTAAATGGTATTGTGTTTTAAATTTCAAATTCCAATGATTCATTTCTGGTGTGTAGGAAAGTGATCGACGATAATCATTTATTAGTTCCACGAGGATTTTTTGTCAATTCTTTCAGATTTTGTACACAGATAATCATGTCATCTGTGAATAAAGACAGTTTTATTTCTTCCTTCCCAATTTATATGCCTTTTATATTATTTTCTTGTCTTATTGCATTGGCTAGGATTTCCAGTACAATGTTGGAAAAAAAACTGGTGAGAGGGAGGAGGTCCTGCCTTGCTCTTGATTTTAGAGTGTAAGGTTCTAGTTTCTCATTAAATATAGTGTTAGCTATAGGGGTTTTTTGTATATATTCTCCTTTTTTAATTTTTTTAAGATTTTATTTATTTGAGAGAGAGAGAATGAGAGATAGAGAGCACGAGAGGGAAGAGGGTCAGAGGGAGAAGCAGACTCCCCGCTGAGCAGGGAGCCTGATGTGAGATTCGATCCCGGGACTCCAGGATCATGACCTGAGCCGAAGGCAGTTGCTTAACCAACTGAGCCACCCAGGCGCCCTATTCTACTTTTTTTTTAAAAAAAGATTTTACTTATTTATTTTAGAGAGAGAGAAGGGGGAGGAGCAAAGGGAGAGAGAAAGGGAGATAATCTCTAGCAGAATCCACACTGAGCGTGGAGCCTGAGGGCTTTAATTTTGCAGGGCATTAATTTTTAAAAAATTAAAAAATTTTCTTGAGATCATGACCTGAGCCAAAACCAAGAGTTGGACGTTCAACTGACTGAGTCACCCAGGTGCCCCGTATATATTCTTTATCAAGCTGAAGAAGTTCCTCTCTATTCCTAGCTTGCCGAGAGCTTTTATCATGAATGAGAGTTTAATTTTGTCAAATGCTTTTTCTGCATCTATTGATATGATCATGAATTTTTCTTCTTTAGCCTATGATTATAACAGATTACATTAATTGATTTTCTAATGTCAAACCAGTTTTGATATCTGACATAAATCCCATTTGATATGGTATATGATTCTTTTTATACATTATTGAATTTGTCTTGCTACTATTTTGGTGAGGATTTTTGCATCTATGTTCATGAATGATTTTGGTCTATAGTTTTCTTTTTTCATGTCTTTCTCTGGTTTTGGTATTAGGGAAATGCTGGCCTCAAATAATGAGGTAGAAAGTATTCTCTCTGTTTCTATCCACTGAGATTGAATAGAATTGGTATAATTTCTTCCTTAAATGTTTGGCAGAATTCACCAGTGAACCCATTTGAACCTGGTGCTTTCTGTTTTAGAAGGTTATTAGTTATTGATTCAATTTTGTTAATAGATACAGGCCTATTCAGATTGCCCATTTCTTTTTGTATGAGTTTTGGCAGGTTGTGTCTTTCAATAAATTGGTCTGTTTCACCTAGATTATCAAATTTGTGTGCATAGAGTTCATAGTATTCCTTTATTATCTTTTTATGTCCATGAGATCTATAATGATGTCTCTTCTTTCTTTTATGATATTAGCAGTTTACATCCTCTAAACTTTTTTTTTAGTTAGCCTGGCTAAAGGTTTATTAATTTCACTGATCTTTTCAAAGAACGAGCTTATTTTCTCTATTATTTCTTGTTTTCAATTTATTGATTTCTGCTCTAATTATTGTTTATTTTCCTCTGCTTATTTTGGATTTGATTCTTTCTTCCTTTTTTTAGTTTCCTAAGGAGGAAGCTTAGATAATTGATCTTAGATCTTTCTTCTTTTCTAATGTATGCATTCACTGAAAGCTGTACATTTCCCTCTACACTGCTTTCATTGCACCGTCAAAATTTTTTCATTTTCATTTGGTTCCAAATATTAAAAATTTTTTCTTGAGATTTTTTTTTTATTTGACCCATGTGTTATTTAGATGTATGTTATTTAATTTCCAAGTATTTGGGAGATTTTCTTTTATTCGTTTCTAGTTCAATTTTATTTTGGTCTAAGAACAGATATTGTATGATTCCTATTCTTTTAAATTTGCTAACGGGGGGATGGGGAAGGGAGCAAGATGGCGGAGGAGTAGGAGACCTGGATTTCGTCTGGTCTCAGGAATTCAGCTGGATAGGGATCAAACCATTCTGAACACCTATGAACTCAACAGGAGATCGAAGAAAAGAATAGCAACACCTCTCTGAACCACTTTCTGGAAGGTAGGACGTGTGGAGAAGTGAATCCGAGGCGATATTCAAGAGGATAGACGGCGGGGGAGGGGGCCTCCGTTGGCCGCTTCTGGCAAGTGATAGAGCCGCGGAGCACAAAATCGGAACTTTTAGAAGTCGGCTCCGCTGAGGGACATCACTCCAGTGGCTAAGCCCGGGGTGGAACCCTCGCAGGGCAGTGTGGTCCCAGGACCCTCGGGGTCACCGAAAGACCGGGGGTGCCTGAGTGCGGCAGAGCTCTCAGGTATCAGAGTGGGGAAGCCGGCTGCAGAGACGGAGCCAAGGCGCGGGCTCTCAGCTTCGGGTTGCCATAAACCGTGATCCGCGGCCCAGTCGGGCCACTGCTCCTCCAGTGGGGACCCAACAAGCGGCAGATCTAGGGAGACGCCCCTTCCTCCCCCGGGAGGAGCGGTGCACCGCAGGGATCTGCTGGGTTTGGAGACTCCACATGGGGTCGGGTGCCAGAGATAGAAATGCTCGGTCACAGGCCGGGTGAGCACGGACTGCAGTCGGAGACCGGGGACACGGGAGTGACTGACTGCTTTTCTCTGGGGGCGCACTAAGGAGCGGGGCCCCGAGTTCTCAGCTCCTCCGGGGCGGAGACTGGGAGGCCGCCATTTTCACTCTCGTCCTCCAAAGCTGTACCGAGAGCTTGCAGGGAACAAAAACTCCTGAGAGCAAACCCGAGCAGATTGCTTAGCCCAGACCGGCAAGGGCGGGGCAAGTCTGCCTCCGGCAAAGACATTTGGGAACCACGGCAACAGGCCCATCCCCCAAATGATCAGCATGAACAGCCAGCC